TTGGCAATTTGATCTCTGGTTCCTCTGCCTTTTCTAAAACCAGCTTGAACATCTGGAACTTCACAGTTCACATATTGCTGAAGCCTGGTTTGGAGAATTTTGAGCATTACTTTACTAGCGTGTGAGATGAGTGCAATTATGCAGTAGTTTGAGCATTCTTTGGGATTGCCTTTCTTTGGGATTGGAATGAAAATTGACCTTTTCCAGTCCTGTGGCCACTGCTGAGTTTTCCAAATTTGCTGGCATATTGAGTGCAGCACTTTCACAATATCATCTTTCAGGATTTGAAATAGCTCAACTGCAATTCCATCACCTCCACTAGCTTTGTTCATAGTGATGCTTCCTAAGTCCCACTTGACTTACATGTTCATTTTATTGTCTCTCTTCTTCATATCAGTCCGTGTTTTCTTTCAGGTTGTCTGGGCAGATAGTTACAAAGTTGGCTGTGCAGTACACTTTTGTCCTCAAGTTTCTGGCTTCCGAGGTCTTCTCAATGGAGCACATTTTATATGCAACTACGGACCAGCGTAAGTGCTCAAATTAATTACTTTTTTGGAAAGCAAACTATTCTAGAAGTATTTATCTTCATTAAATAGATACAGAAAATAGATCTGGATGATAGTGTAAAAGAGAAAATGAATGTTACCCGTTAATTCCTCTGCCCAGTTTTCTTTGTATGTTTGCTTGTATGTGTGTGTATAGACACTTTTATAAACACTGTGTAAGTGCACACACACACAGAGACATGTATGTTCAAGAGTAGCAAGACTCAATGTTTTCAGGGACATGGATTAATTGGATATGGTAATAATACCACAAGATGGGAAGATGTTCTCTAACGTCCTATTATATTAACTTATTATAATTTTCTCAAAACAAAAAAACAAAAAAACCCACTCTGAATTGAACTCCTCAATCTGTATAACTTATTCACATACTTTTGACAGTTTTGTTTTTGAAAGACATAATTTTTCTCCTTTTGAAAAATGGGAAGGCATAGGACATCTCCCCCAACTTCCTTTAAATGTAATATGTGTGTTCTTTTGCATCATATACAAACTTAGAAAACAGAGATAAAGGAAATTCATGCTTTTCTAGATTTTATTTACAATTTTGTATTCACATTTTCCATGGTATTAAAGTTTTTAAATGGATTACAGTAGTTAAAAACAATGATATAATAATTTTATAAAGCTTACTGTGTGCTAAGCACTGTTTTAAGTGCTTCACATATATTAAAGGTATTTAATCTTCATAAAAAGTCTGTGATATAGATTCTGCTCCTACCCCTGTTTTACAGATAAGACAGCTGAGGCCCTGACAGGGTGCCTGGCCTGCCCAGGGTTCCCACAGTTAGTGAACGTCATAGTTGGACTGTGACTTCGGAGGTCTGGCTCCAGAGTCTGTGTTCTTGTTAGGAACAGCTCACCCTATTGAAGAACTGAGACTGTTCCCTGTGTTTCCTTTTACTTACTTATTTATTTATATTGAAGTCTAGTTGATTTACATTATCGTGTTAGTTTCACATGTATAGCACATTCAGTTTTATGTATATATATTTTTTCTTTTTCAAATTCTTTTCTCTTATAGAGAGAGATACATAAATAATATTGAGTATAGTCCCATGTGCTATACAATAGGTCTTAGTTGATTATTTTATATGTATTACTATATGTATTATATCTATGTAGTATCTATTTTATATTTTATATGTAGTACAGTGTATGCGTCAGTCCTAAACTCCTAATTTATCCCTCCCCCATCCCTTTTCCTTTGTTGGCTATAAGTTTATTTTCTATGTCTTTGGGTCTATTCCTGTTTTGTGTAAATAAGTACCATTCTTTTTATTCCACGTATAAGTGATATCACATGACATTTGTGTATGTCTGGCTTACTTTGCTTAGTGTGATAATCTCCAGGTCCATCCCTGTTGCTGCAAATGGCATTATTTCATTCTATAATATATTATATATTCTATATAATATTCTATAATATTCTGTAGGTTGTTTCCATGTCTTGGTTATTGTAGTAGTAATGCTACGAATATTGGGGTGCATGTGTCTTTTTGAATTAGAATTTTCTTGGGTTATATGCCCTGGAGTGGGATTGTAGGATCAAACGGCAACTCTACTTTTAGTTTTTCTAACAAATCTCCATACTGTTCTCCATAGTGGCTGTACCAAATTACATTCTCATCAACAGTGTAGGAGGGCGACTTGTTCTCTACAACCTCTCCAATCTTTATCATTGGTAGGCATTTTATGATGGCCTTTCTGATGGGAGTGAAGTGACACTTCATTGTAGCTTTGATTTTCATTTCTCGATGCAAATGTGTTGAACATTTGCATGTGATGTTGAGTATCTTTTCATGTGCCATTTGGTCATCTGTGTGTCTTCTTTAGAGAAATGTTTATTTAGATCTTCTGCCCATTTTTAAATTGGGTTGTTTCTTGGTTTTTTGTTTGTTTGTTTTTTGATACTGAGCTGTATCAAATATCAATTATATCAAATTAATATTAATTAATTAATATTAATTTATTAATTAATATCAAATTAATTTATATTTTTAAATTAATTCCTTGTCAGATCCATCATTTGCAATTATTTTCTCCTATTCCATAGGTTGTCTTTCTGTTTATGGTTTGCTATGCAGAAGTTTTTGGGTGTCTCCTGAGGAGGTACAGGTCAGCAGTGGACTGCTGTGGGGCCAGGGGCTCTGGGTGCAGTTGATCTGGGTATGGCATAAGCCCTCTTGGAGGATATCTCCATTAACTCACCATAGAGCCACCAGAACTTACGCAGGACTGGGAAACAGACCCTTGGAGGCACAAACAGAACCTTGTGCACCAGGACCCAGGAGAAAGTAGCAGTGACCCCACAAGAGACTGACCCAGACTTGCCTGTGAGTGTCCAGGAGTCTCTGGTGAAGGCGTGGGTCGGCGGTGGCCTGCTGCAGGGCTGGGGGCACTGAGTGTAGCAGTGTCTGCACAGGACCTTTTGAAGGAGGTCACCATATCTTCATTATCTCCGCCAAAGTTTGACCCCAGGTAAATAACAGGGAGGGAACACAGCCCCACCCTTCAACAGAAAATTGGATTAAAGATTTACTGAGTGTGCCCCCCCCCCCATCAGAACAAGGTCCAGTTTCCCCTTCAAGTCAGTCTCTCCCATCAGGAAGCTTCCATAAGCCTCTTATCCTCTCCATCAGAGGTCAGACAGACTGAAAACCATAATCACAGAAAACTAACCAATCTGATGGACCACATGGACCACAGCCTTGTCTAACTCAATGACACTATAAGCCATGCTGTGTAGGGCCACCCAAGAACAGGTCATGGTGGAGAGTTCTGGTGAAATGTGGTCCTCCAGAGAAGGAAATGTCAAACCACTTCAGTATTCTTGCCTTGAGAACCCCATGAACAGTATGAAAAGGCAAAACCATAGGACACTGAAAGATGAACTCCCCATGTCAGTAGGTATCCAATATGCAACTGGAGATCAGTGGAGAAATAACTCCAGAAAGAATGAAAACAGAGCCAAAGCAAAAACACCCAGTTGTGGATGTGACTGGTGATGAAAGTAAGTCTGATGCTGTAAAGAGCATAGGAACCTGAAATGTTAGGTCCATGAATCACGGCATATTGAAAGTGGTCAAACAGGAGATGGCAAGAGTGAACATTGACATTTTAGGACTCAGCGAAATAAAATGGACTGGAGTGGGTGAATTTAACTCAGATGACCATTTTATATACTGTGGGCAGGACTCCCTTAAAAGAAATGGAGTAGCCATCATAGTCAACAAGAGTCCAAAATGCATCCAAGCTCAAAACCGACAGAATGATCTCTTTTCATTTCCAAGGCAAACCATTCAATATCACAGTAATCCAAGTCTATGCCCTCACCAATAAGGATGAAGAAGCTGAAGTTGAATGGTTCTGTGAAGACCTACAAGACCTTCTAGAACTAACACCCCAAAAAGATGTCCTTTTCACTATAGGGGACTGGAATGCAAAAGTAGGAAGTTAAGAAATACCTGGAGTAATGGGAAAGTTTGGCCTTGGAGTACAGAATGAAGCAGGGCAAAGGCTAACAGAGTTTTGCCAAGAGATTGCACTGGTCCTAGTCCTTTCCACAGTGCGTTCCTCTTCCAACAACATAAGAGAAGACTCTACACATGGACATCACCAGATGGTCAATACTGAAATTAGACTGATTATATTCTTTGCAGCCAAAGATGGAGAAGCTCTATACAGTCAGCAAAAACAAGACCAGGAACTGACTGTGGCTCAGATCATGCACTCCTTGTTGCCAAATTCAGACATAAATTGAAGAAAGTGGGAAAAACCACTAGACCATTCAGGTATGATGTAAATCAACTCCCTTACAACTAAACAGTGGAAGTGACAAAAAATTCAAGGGATTAGATCTGATAGACAGAGTGCCTGAAGAACTATGGACGAAGGTTCATAACATTGTACAGGAGGCAGTGATCAAAACTATCCCCAAGAAAAAGAAATGCAAAAGGGAAAATGGTTGTCTGAGGAAGCCTTACAACCAGCTATGAAAAGTAGAGAAGCGATAAGCAAAGGATAAAAATAAAGATATGCCCATTTGAATGCAGAGTTCCAAAGAATAGCAAGGAGAGATAAGAAAGCCTTCCTCAGTGATCAATGCAAAGAAATACAGGAGAACAACAGAATGGGAAAGACTAGAGATCTCTTCAATACAATTAGAGATACCAAGGGAACATTTCATGCAAAGATGGGCTTGATAAAGGACAGAAATGGTATGGACCTAACAGAAGCAGAAGATATTAAGAAGAGGTGGCAAGAATACACAGAANAGTTAGAACCAGACATGGAAAAACGGACTGGTTCAAGATTGGGAAAGGAATATGTCAAGGCTGTACATTGTCACTCTGCTCATTTAACTTATATATAGAGTACCTCAAGTGAAATGCTGGGCTGGATGAAGCACAAGCTGGAATCAAGATTGCCAGGAGAAATATTAATAACCTCAGATCTGCAAATGATACTACCCTTATGGCAGAAAGTGAAGAGGAACTAAAGAGCCTCTTGATAAAAGTGAAAGAGGTGAGTGAAAAAGTTGGCTTAAAACTCAACATTCAGAAAACTAAGATCATGATATCTGGTCCCATCACTTCATTGGCAAATAGATGTGGAAACAGTGAGAAACTGTTTTGGGGGGCTCCAAAACCACTGCAGATAGTGACTGCAGCCATGAAAATGAAAGACCCTTGCTCCTTGGAAGAAAAGGACCAACCTAGACAGCTTATTAAAAAGCAGAGACATTTCTTTGCCAACAGAGTATTGTTTAGTCAAAGCTATGGTTTTTCCAGTAGTCATGGATGGACATGTGAGTTGGACTACAAAGAAAGCTGAGCGCTGAAGAATTGATGCTTTTGAACTGTGGTGTTGGAGAAGACTTTTGAGGCAGCAAGGAGAACCAACCAGTCCATCCTAAAGGAAATCAGTCTCAAATACTCATTGGAAAGATTGACGTTGAA